CCGTCCATACTTCCGGCGTAGAGGGGGGGAGACCCCCCCCTGTCCATACTGCCTGCGTAGAGGGGGGGAGACCCCCCCCTGTCCATACTGCCTGCGTAGAGGGGGGGAGACCCCCCCCTGTCCATACTGCCTGCGTAGAGGGGGGGGGCGACCCCCTATCCATACTGCCTGTATATGTAACTACCCATACTGGCTTTATAGAGGGGAAAAGGCACTGCTCATACTACCTGTATAGAGGAGAAGATCCCTTGCATGTATAGAAGGAGAGAGCCCCCTGCCCGTACCTCCTGCGTAGAGGAGCACAACTAATGCTTAAGCTGCCTTTATAGTGTGGAAAATCCTTAGCCATTCTGCTTATGAATGTTTATAAACATGTAGAAATTGTTTTGTCATTTAGTGTATTTTCTATTTCTATGCAGTCTTCATACTGAGCAGATTTAAAGCCAGCATCCTGCCGTTATGTAATAATGTATTCTGTACAGAGTAGTCCTGAGAATCCTGACACTGAATGTATAGTGGGCCACAAACATGCCATTTTCATGATAACCCAGTACACTGTACTTCATAGGTGAGTGCAGCCTAGTCCTGTATATAGTGGTATATAGTAATACAGTCTGTATATAGTGGTATATAGTAATACAGTCTGTATATAGTGGTATATAGTAATACAGTCTGTATATAGTGGTATATAGTAATACAGTCTGTATATAGTGGTATGGTATATAGTAATACAGTAGCTCCGCCCACTTTAAAGCTGACCATAGACCTATAGATTTTCGATCGGGAATTTTCGTTGCTGCCAACAACCCTCCTTCGATTCTAACTCAAATAGCCCAATATGCACAGGCCAATGTCGAGTTCAATAATCGTTTGTTAGCAATACTAACTCACTGAATTTTGTTGATGGACAGAACGGATCTTTGTTTGCGCATGCGCAGTTTTTTGCTTAAATGTTTTTCTTTTCCGTACAAAACCGCCACTAATCCATAAATTTCCGTACGATTCTGAAAAAGTTTTCCAGCCTGACCGATCGAGGAAATTCGGTCAGAAGTACAGTAATTAAAATCTTTGGTGTCCCATCAACTGATCGCTTATCGTTCAAAAGACCATTCGTGGAAGGAAAATCGATAGGTGTATGGGCACCTTTTTAGAATGTTTGTGATTAAAATGTATTTCTCAGTCGGGGAATTAAAGGGAGGCAATTAAAGGGAGGCATTCTATCTTGTGTACTCTTACTTTGAAGCTGCTGAGGTACATCCTAACTTAAATATGAAAGCGTCCCTTCACACACATTTCTTGAAATAAGTAGGTTATAAGATAGGAATCCATGTGCGGGTTTATCCTGTACATTTTATCATTAAACATTGAACTGTTTGCCTCCTTTAAAGAGCATGCTTGCTTACGTATCCTTGCAACAGCCACACAACCACCTGTGTGCCCATGGTCCCGCGCTGTGCGGGCGTGTAGCCTGTGCGCCACTGGTCCCGCGCTGTGCAGGCGTGTGGCCTGTGCGCCCCTGGTCCCGCGCTGTGCAGGCGTGTGCGCCCCTGGTCCCGCGCTGTGCAGGCGTGTGCGCCCCTGGTCCCAGCATTTCTGGCTCAAGGTCTCATTCATTGCTTTACATCTCCTTCTTCTGCTTTTTGTCTTAGAAGATTCTCCGTAGGGAAATCCGGCTGACGTACATAAGCAGAGAGTGGGGTGGAGCATGAGATTCAGATGGCGGCAGGGACATAAGCAAAAATGGCTGGATGTTTTACTTGATCTTTATGTTTTGTGAGACTTTATAGCCACAAGGGTTTGTGATGAAAGCACTGGTGGAGAGATCCGGCTGCCCCTGTGAGATATAAGAAACCAAGGGGGTAAATTTAGCCTCCAGTACAACTATAACCAGTTATTACCGTTTTAGGTGTACAGAGCCATTGATGTATTTCTCCACCCAAGAAAGCCACTCTGGGTGTAATCAACCTTTATTACTAATGCAATAGACACGGAGATGTATTCACACTGGGTGGTGTCACTCTTTGTCATATATTTAATTATTTGCTAAGATCTTGGCAGCAATTGCAGCCGTTTTGTTGCCGGTGTAGACGTACACCACCTTCTGTATTGTGTATTCCTTACTTCAGGTGTTCAGCTCCCTGTTCTGCTTGGTCCTGGCTGGGTAGAGTCTTTTGTATAGTCCTATTTTTATTTTCTGCAAATGACCTAAACTTGTATGTAGGATTGCTTGTGTTTATTAACCAGTAACCTGACAAATGCTTTCGTTGTGGGACGGTGCTGCCATTTGCTTTGCATTTGTTTGGTATAGACCAGTCCTAGCTAAAGGCCGCCCTCCTTTGTCACAGCTTTCATACCAATGTTGGACTGGATGTTTGTAAATGTAGGGAGCTCCCACTGTTGAATTGACCTAGGTTTGGGTGAAATGCTCATCCAGAAGTGTGTGAGGAAGTAATGAAATTCAGCGAGGTTGAAGGTGATTTTTTGTATCAGTATAACATTCCACCCCCCCCCCGGAGTTCCAGGGGGCCTTTGGGAAAG